CCCCCCCCCCCCTTTCCCCCATGCCCCCCCCCCCCCAGCAACCACCTTCTCGACACAGCCAGCTTCTGACCTCCCCTTCAGTCTTCCCAATATACTGCTGCAAAAAGCGATGTTGCCTACTGCTCTGAACAGTGGATTCCCCTTCCTGTCCACATCAGATTTAGTCACCTAGTTATGGTGTTCAGTGCTCCATACAACCTCTTTACCTCCAGAGCTGAGAAGAGCAAGTCTCCTTTGCCACCTGGAGTTGCATGAATGATCTTGGGGAGAGGGTGGTCTTACTCTACAGGCTTGCTACACCTAGAACCCCTCCTTCAGTCTGCTGTGGCTTTAGCTTTCTGCTCTTTTGAGTCTGACAGTCAGCTTCTAAGAAGTTCTATACAGACACCCTTCCGGTACAAACCAGAAGCATGGAAGTTTTGAATTAAGATGATGGGCAAGTGATGTTCACCATCACGGCTTTCCACAGCATCCCCTCTTTAGCATGGGCACAGTCTATTTCAGCTTTGGACCATCCAGAGCAGGGACCTGTTCAAGCCTTTCAGAAGCTGCTAGAACAACACAGTTGCTGTGTTATCGCTCACTTATAAAGTAATGCCCTGCAAATAGCACTGAAGTCCAGAACTCTTCAGAACTGGAATTATGAGGTGCTTCCCTCCCCCACACAAACAAGCTACCCATCAAACACGAAGCACCCACTTGCTTTCCCTATGCCTTACAAAAGGGAAGGCCATTGCCAGCCCATGGCTTACTCACGCTGAGGCTCCAGATCAGTTAGAGCTGGCTGCGCACTAGTGACAGCTTCACCAGCCATGGCAGTCACTCCTTTCTCTGCTGCCTCACACACAGATTTGCCTGATGGCTGGGTTCCTTTGGCAGAAGTCAGGGCAGACACCACCATGTCATAAGTAGACTTGAACAAGGGCAGACCAGCCACTTGACTCACTGGGGTCTAACAAGGCAGAAGAACAGTTGTGTAAATGAAGTGACAGTTCATACCAGAATCAGGCCGCTTTTATAATCATCACTAGGTAGCAGTTTTGTTGCCACACATCTCCTGCCTTGAAAACGTTCTTCCAGTAGAAGTTAGGCAACTCTCCAGGTATTCTGATTTTTTGTTTTGGGGAGGGGG